ACTCTAATGATACCAGCCCAGACGTTAACTGCTAATAAATCACCTCCACACAGGTCTCAGAACAAGATCATGTAAAACAAAACAAAAAATACCTGCAGTGGGTATGTGACTTTACCTAAGATATCCTAAAAGCAGAGTCGTCCACAGGCTCTCAGATGCCTGCTTGCCTAGGAGGAAAGCCATCAGAAATCGAATTTCTAATGTTAGAACTCCTCTAATTAAACAGTAAAATTAATTAAAAACAACAACAATGAAAAAAAAACTAAAGTCTGTAATTGACTACCAACATTCCAAATTAGCACACTTCCCCTTAGACAGCATGTTCATGATCTCATTTTATTTGCCATAAAGCTGATTTAATTTTATGAGTAAGAAATACAAGACATGATATATATGATATACATCATATAGACAAAATCCCAGGACAGAATTGTTGGGTCTTAAGTTTATGTGTACGTATCTGAGACACATTTTCTACTGCAGCTTGAATACCATTATAAATATCAGTTAGGATGAAGTGCTGTTAGAAGATAAGCAAAATAATCCAGAATGACTAAATGACTGGGTCAAAGGACAGAGCCAGAAATAGAACCTAGATGTTTCCCATTATCAGTGTCCTGCTCAAATGAATAACCCGGGGAAGTTTGCCTTTTCACTTTTCTCTACTATTGTCATAATTCTTTAAAAAGAAATGTCGTGTTTTAAGGTACTTGTTTCTCTTCTTTTACTTTGTCTGCCTTCTCAGTCCTTCATTTTGCATGATGTGAAGTCCTATATTGGGTCTTACAGGGTTGTGTTTATCAAGCAGTGTTTTTGTGAGCTTCTGCTTGTCCATTTTTTCCCTGCAGCTCTATACTGAGAGCCTGTACTGCCTCCCTCTGGATAGGCTAACAACGTCAAAATAGCTATAAAAAGCCCAAATCGGAAGAGATGTCGATGAATGATGTAATTAAAAATAGTAAGTTATTAGGCAAATATATAGAAACAGGAAGTAGGTTAGTGATTATTTAGGGGTGGCGAGTTGGCAATAGGGAGTTGATAGCTAAGGGGTGAGAGGTGATAAAAATGTTCTAATTTGGTTATGTGATGGCTGCACAACTCTGAATATACTAAAAACAACTGAATTGTATACCTTAATTGGATGGAGTGTGTGGTGTGTGATATGTCAATAAAGCTGTTATCCAAAAAACTGAAGCTGTAATTCCTGTAATTCCTGTCCCTGAACCAGCAGGTGAAGTTTCCACAACAGAAGTAATACCCCCCAAACAGCATGCTGGGTGTGGAGCCGGGCGCAGGGGAAGAGCTCAAACAACCTAAACAAAGTCTGCACCGATAGAAAAGAGGGTAAAAATCAGGCTGAAAGAGAACACAGGAGGCGAAAATATAATAATCCCAAAGCACAATATTGTTAGAGAGCAAAACCGATGACCCCAGAAAGACAGCAGGGCGGCAGAATTTTACCCAGGAAAGAATCAAAGGATGTTAATTAATTGGTATGGATAAAATTTAAAGCTTATATTTTGAAATATAATTAAAATAATAATATCCTAGAATGTGGGCATGAAAACTCAGAATAAATGCATTTGAATTAACAGACTAACTGACTGGGAAGTCAATAATATTAGCTTCCATTTAAAAGCAAAAAACAACAGAAGTTTCTGCAACTTTGGCCAAATTCTCTCTTCTGAATACAGATCCCCAGTGACAACAGCATCCCAGGCACCCCCTCCTGGGTGTTATTCAAATGATTCATTTCAGCAGTCAGACTGGAATTTACCATCACATCATCACACTCCCCACTAACCCGCACTGCTGCCTGACTTTTTCTCTTTCTATATTCCCAGTCTCAGACTCTAACACCAGCTGGCAATCTTCTCTGTCTGTACCCCTCGCCCCGCCCTTAGTCTGCCCACACTATCAAGTCATTAGGTCTATTCCCCCCGTTGCTGCCTCATTTTTAGTCACTGTCACCTCTGGCCAGATGGCTACAGAGTAGCCCAACAGACTGCTTGGCTGTCAGTCTTGCCCATTTCAAACTCATTCTTCATAAACCCATCAGCGAGATTCCCATAAAATACAAATCCCACTGAATCACTCTCTTGCTTAATATTCTTTAAGGACCTCTCCCCATTGCCACCAGGTTAAAATATGAAATACTTGGCAAGTCATACGAAGTCCTCCATGATCTGGACTGTTCAGCTCTTCAGGAGCTTTTGTCTCCAAAAGATCACATTTTCTCTTGACAATAGTCCTCTGCCGGGGAGAAAAACCTAACTGCCTTGCAGCAGGGCAATGAAACACAAATACATAAACCCAAGTGATCATCCGTCCTTGCCAGAAATGGCATGTATCATAGCATACTCCCAGAAATTAACCTTCATCTTCCATTGTGCTTCCAAACTACCCTTTATCAAAATGTACCCAAATTCACTAGATACAAAATAAACGTCTTCATCTTCATGAAATACTCCCATGGCCCTGCATACAGCTGTCTTAAGACATGAAGCAGGTATACCCAGTGAACCAACGTGCTGTGTAAGCAGTGCTGCATACACTTCTTGTACATAAAGCACACATTTGCCGAGATCTTATTTCATCATTCTTAGTGCACAGATAAATTGTCTACCACCACCACTACCACCACCATCATGCCACCAGAAAATTTATGTTATAATTTCAGGTGCTTTTGTACATTGATTTTCTTCAATGAACGTCTTTCCATTTGAATTTTTTTTTTCATTTTAACTGCTTGTTCCCTCACACAAAAAGAATCATTAATACAAACACCCAAATGAAAATTAAAATCCTCTTGCCTCAGAAATATTCAGCAAAAGGTACTTAGTTTCTAAAAATCATTTACCTGTAAGATGCCAAAAAAAAGCCATGGATTTTTTAAAACTATGTGAAGACAATGTTTTAAAATTAAAAGCATTTAACAAAGGTTCAAGGGAGTGAAAAATCATGCAAACTACCATAATGTGAAATAGCCAAAATATAAACAAATGCATGTGTTTACTTTTAATAAAGAGATTTTATAACAGACTCTAAGTAAATGCCCTCTTTTATGCTTCCTATGGGCCAAAACAGACTATTTTAGCAACATTAAGTTAGTTTTAAAGAGCATTTACCACTCGTGTTACAATGTATTTTAGTCAGCAACCTTTCTTTCTGGATGCTGGTTGCCATAAGACCTAACTAATCCTTTGCTTAGTTATTTTTATTCAGAAAGATTTTAAACATCTCTATTTACATGTATTTCTTCCCCAGTTTGAATATTCATTAAATATTGACAAGAGTTTTTTGGCTATGTAGGAATATATCGCAAGATAAAATGTGTCAGAAGACATTATTAAACTCTAAAACAGGTCTCATCGTCAAGGTTCATGTCAAGCCTCCTTTGCTCGTTGTCTAAAACTGTTACCTTCTCAAGTGTATAGCCTAGGTATCCTTTGAATTTAACACCATTACATAAACTGAGTATCTGTGAGCATTAATAGATTGGGCTTACAGTCGTTTAAGTCATAAAAAATAATATATTCTAACACCTACCCACATTTAGAGCCCTCTAGAACCTCCCCAAAATGAGATGATAGTTAAATATTTTATCAATTCACATTTACGGTGACCTCATGAGACTCCAGAGGGTAACACAAAAAAAGAACAGATTTATCTTCAATACTTGCCTGCTCAATTTCATTATCAAGTCACAAGTGAATTATGCAATGAATCAATGAATAAGAAATCAGAAGTAATGTAAGTAAACATAGATTTTTGTTAAATTAATCTTGAGAATCCAACCATAAAACACCCTAATAGTCTTTATGCATGGGAATAAATTACTAATAAGCCTATTCCAGAAAAAGATCTTTCTTTAAAAAATTACATCTTTTTAATGACAATAATTTCAAACTCAGAGAACATCTGTAAGAATAAGAATGGTTCCAAGAAAATTTCTGAACTCTTCACCCAGACCTGCATATCTGTTAACATTTTGACGTTTAAAGAGAGAAGAGCTCCTAAGAAAGGATTCAAAAGAAGTCATCATGGCGAATTTCGTAATGGTGAAGTTTTCGAGCAGTATTTGCTTAGAATTTCCACACAGAGCAGTGTGAGGCCAACACCAGGGAGTAATGTAATCCCTGCCCTTGAAGAACCATGTGATCAACTCAGAGAGGAGACAGGCATCGGATGCCAATGGATCGTGAGTTCACAAGCATATCAGAAACAGTAACTGTCAAAATGATGTGAGAATAACATGGCACAAAGAAGTAATCACATGTAAACCTGTGGTAAACAAGGAGAACGCTCCACTGAAATAGGTTTTAAACCAAGTTCTAAGTGAGAAGGCCTGTGATTGGCAAGAATAGGTCATTCTGCACACAGAAGGATGGGAAATTCAAGGGCATGGAAGGAGCTGTACTTGGGGGCAGAAAAAAGATTCAGATCGTACTTCCTAAGATTCCTCATAAAAAATTTTAAAGGAAAGATTTTTGTCACATTTCATGCAGAAGAAAATCTGAACTTCAGGCTGCCTTCACAGTCACAGTTATCAAGCTGGAGACATAAAAGTAATACCCTCAGGCCTAATTTTCCTAGTTGTAAACCAAGTCACAGAACCTTTGCAGCTTTTATATTAAGTATTTATAATAAATGGAGAAAGAAGCAACTTCATATTAAGAGGAAATGCCCTTATAGTTCAGGCTTCAATAAGGCTAACTGTAATAGGGCTTGAAAATGACAGAAAATAGAATAGCTAAGAGCCTATAAGTCTAAATAAACAGTGATTACTTCCATAAAACAAGGTGTTCCTCTGCAATTATTAAGGAAAAGTGCTTCATAGATCTTATTTCCAGAAGCCAATTATTCAGAGGGGAGCATGAATTTCATAACAGAATAAGGTGACAACTCCACCTTCGAACACTAATAAATTTTGCATGGAAGATGGATCTAAAGAGCGCAGCAAAAATTAAAATCCAGGTTGCAGTTTCCCGGGCACTTGCCTGCATCTGCTGTGTGAGTTCCCTGGCCAGCACTGTGTCCTGAAGAGCATTCTCCCGCTGAGAGGCATCGGCAAGAACGTTCACTGTGGTTTCTGCTTCTTGTATCCACTTTAGGAAGTTCTCCAGGTCCCTGCGAGAGGCCTGGACTGTCCTCAGCTCAGCCTCCAAGGCACTCTGTCTGTCAGCGAGGCTGCAAGTAACAACACGACAGGCGCGTCTCCATTACTCACAGTGTGACAGTCCACATCATGCACACCCTAAAGAAAAATTAACAGACAGCCTCCAAGGAGCCTTTATTTATTTAACTATCTACTGTAACTGGGAGATTTATTTATATGTGCATCTTGACTAACCCTTAATAAGCGGTAATGTGAATTGTGAGAAGGGGAGAGGGAGAGAGACAGGAATATTAACAACATCACACCCATACTATAAAGTAATTATGACTGTATTTGGCAACTTGTAATTGTGTAAGTTATTCCCCATATGTTTTATTTCAATACCTTAGTATTATGTCTGACACTCAAAAGGCAATATCAGTAAATATTCGTACAAATGACTAAATGAGTTCTAGGAGGAAGTAAAATCTAAGAAATTAAGATACAATACAATAATGCAGAGGACATACTTTATATATTTTAAACACTTCAGATCAATACTAACTGGTTCCTTGTGCTAATATAATAATATTATATTTGGAAGACCCTGGACATTCAAATTTTTTATAAAGCATTCATTAAATCTACAGCACAATTAAAATGCAGAACTATCCTGGAGTTGCATGATTTAAGAGACACACACACCTGTAAATCCAATCTCTGAAACTTCCTATGTCTCAAAGCCCCATAAAAAGGAAACCAACAACTTAATTTTAAAAATGGGAACCAACAATTTCAGTCTTAGGTAACTGAACCCCCACCTATTAAAATCCTGCCAATCCTCTAAGGGTTAACGGCTACTTCCTGTAGAACATCTCAGCCCAATTAGGTGTCCTTGCCCTGAGTTCATCAAAGGTCAAAACTCCTCTTCATCCCCCTTCAATCACATGTATCCCGGAAAAGCCCTTAGATTATGATCTCATTTCACTCTTAAATATCACTTCAACTATATCACAGAGATTTCTTGTCTGTCCCTCTGTTCTGTAAACTCACTATGGGCAGACAGAAAGAGGGTACTGCATCCAAGTTAGATCAGATGAGGGCTGTCTTCACCATTCCAAATACGATGTTTGTTTTAACTTGGAAAAGCTAACAAAGGATGCACTCTGAAAAAACAAGAAAATAACTCAAAAGAGGACAGAAGCAAACAAACAAACAAAAACCTCCACGAGACCCTAGGAGGAAAGCACAGAAAGTCCCCAGGGTAATGGTGGTGCAGCAGGCCTAGAAAGCTGTCTCCAGAAGAGACATCTACAAGAAAAAGCACTGGAAGTGACAGACTGCTTAATGCTATTGACCTTGTAGGAAACTGTACTGTCAGGCCATTGGAAAATGTGGGAAGAATTAGCAATAGGTGCAAAGAAAACCAAGTATATAAAAACAAGGCAATTATTAATTTCAGGTAAAATAAGAGAAGCAAAATTATAGTAAACACCAGTGCTTGGCTGTTAATGATATTTAGACAGGCATAATAATGTCAACACTGAATATCTACTTCACTAAAAAGTCAATGATAAGATGGTACAGCCACTATGGAAAACAATATGGCAGCTCCTCAAACAAATAAAAATGGAATTAACATATGACCCAGCAAAGGAGAGAAAAGAATTACCCTTAGGGAAAGAAACTGTGTGAGTAGTGAGAGAATCAGTATATTTTGTTATAAACCTTTCAGTAGTTTAAGTATTTTTTTGTCATCATAGTATATAGTTCTTTAATTTTTGATATTTAGACATTATCCACCAAAATTAGGGTGGTTGGTGGTGTTGGTGTTTAATCTTCCATCTAATCCTGCCCACATTTTCAATTATTAAAACAACAACTGAAAAAAGTATTAATAGCCAAATAAAGGCTGTGCCAAAAAGATCCTAGCATTAAAGGAGTATATATGCTCAATTGATTGACCATGAATAGATGACTCTAATTTTAAGAACACTCATATAAAATCTAGTAATTTAAAAATTTAATGAAGTCAAATGCTTTCATTTTACATTAATCAGTATCCTTTATTCTTAAGAATATTCACATGTACATAACAGGTTATGTGGCTAACAGCTAACGTAAAAACACATCATCATGGATTAGCTCTACGAACCCTAAGAATGCCCTGACTAGGGAGAAGGATGCAAATATCTGAGACTGTTGTGGGTGAAATGAGAGATTCCTTCCACGAGAGAAACATTTATACCCTTACTTTGCACTAAGGTGCAAAATTATACCCAACAAGCATGAAGAACCAGGCAAACAGGGGAGGTGGAAAGCCTAAAAAAGTGATGCTTCAAAGGAAAAGGGAGCTAAGAGGATCATGAGCACCTGGCCTTAGACAACATTGGGTCCGCTGGTCGGGTAATGCCAGCTGCACACTTTGGTGATCAGGGGAGTGTTCTGAATCCAGAAACTAGGGCACTTATTGTAAAACTGTCAAATTATCTATTGGTCATCAGAAGGAAATAGATTCTCCTTTAAAAATACTCACTTTGCAGGAAACTGCTGAAAAAGAACTTTTAGACGATGGTTAAGAGATAGCTACTTTGGTGGTTATGAAAGCAAAAGATTACAGGTTTTGGATCACAGCAGGCACAGCTCCGCCACTGGCTGTGACAGCTAGGGCAGCTCCTGCCTCCTCAAGCATCATTTTCATCATCCCTGAACTCTACTTGGCACACAAAGTTCTCCATGGTCTGAGTCTTGTTTGCCTTACAAGGATCATCTCATCACTCCAAGCCTCATGCTTTATCCAGCTACAAAAATGAACCAAATACTAACCCTCAAAATGGTCACTGTTTCACATCCAGAGCTCTGCTTTTTACTTCTTTTCTTTTAAATATCCTTCACACCCCTCCTTCCCCTGCCACTAGCCTTTACCATTCCACCTGGTTAACTTCTACTTACCTTCCAAACCTACTGTACCTCATTCCAAAGCACCCCATAATTTCTCTTATGGTGTCTATTAGCAGACCATTATGGCTGTCACAACAAATCACCACAAATGCAGTGGCTTAAAGCAACACAAATTTGTTCTCTCCCAGTTCTCTAGGTTAGTTTCCGATAGGGGTATCACTGTACTAAAATTAAGTTGTCAGCAGGCAGGGCTGTGCCCCTCTGTGGAGGCTCTACAGGTGAACCCATATCCTAGACTTTTCCACCCACATTCCTTGGCTTGTGGCCCCTTCTTCCATCTGCAAAGCTAACAGTGGCTGGCTGAGTCCTCACATCTCTCTGACCCACTGTCTGACTCCATATTTCACTTTTAAGGATGGAACTGGGTCCATCCAGATGATCCAGGATACTTTCCCCACCTTTGCGGACAATTCTTCTGCCTTATATCGCTAATCATGACTGAAAGTGACTGTTTGCTTACCTGTTTCAAGCTTCTGAATCATCAGTGCACAGTTACCCCAGGGCCTAAACACAGTAACAACCCAACAAGTACTCACTGAATAAACTAATACAAAAGTAAGAATAGCATCTCCCTTCCAAAAATATTTTAAGGAAAAAATGAAGTGTACACACAGAAAAGTATCAAGACATAGTAGGCATCCAATAAAAAGCATTTTTTCTAACCTTGTATATGAATATTCCCAGTGAAATACTGGGAAATTAATCTCATATATACTATGTAAATATGCAGTTTAATAATAAATGTCCTAGGGAATTCTTAATTCACAAATAACTGGTGTCATGTTTTTTATCATCATAATCAACTACTAAAAATAATGAACACATTGAAAACTAAACTCTACTTACAACAGTCCAAATTATATTATTATAATAAATATACATTAAAATTATAATCATAGTGTATATATATTAATTTATAGTTGGATTTTTGAAATTAATAAAAATTTATATGAAATTCTAATAGAATATAGCTCAAAGGTATCAGTTCTCCACACCACTCATTTCACTCCCTTTTTTTTAAGTCTAGAATATAGTATACTTCATACTACAAGACACTACAAGAATCTTTTTATTTATTTTCAAGGAAATTTCACATGATTTATCATACTACCATAACGCAAAGAAAATCACTAAAATTAGAGGCTCAGGAATATACGTGCACTTCAGGACACAGGCTAAGAAACTACCTTTAATGCCCTCTGTACGTGGCTCTCAGAAGAAAATGACCTAATTCTACCATGTCTGCCATTTACTAGCTAAATACCTTGGGGTAATTCACCTCAAGTCTCCAATTTTTTTTTTTCCATTCTCAAATAAGAAGCTTGGAGTAGTTGAGTAAAGGGTCCATGACAGAATCTCTAAGGGGTCCTTTTAAAACTACATAATCCATCACAGAGATTATAAAACCTGCTAAAAGAGTTCCTCCACTCTCACCCCATCCTTCGCTTCAAATTCAGCTTCATTAAGAATCCTTGCATGTAAATGAAATGTTACGAATGGGGACTGGTGACTGGTGTGCAGACAGCAAAGAGGCTAGGAAGCGTTAATGTGGAAGATTCATTCCTTAAGATCACATCCAGCACTGAACTTACATTAGTCTACGATTCTCAATGCAGGGGTTCTGTCTGACAGTCCTGGTTGCTACACGCCAAGCAAGATCAGAACAGCGCTGGAGGAAGCTCTGAGAAATGTAAATGAGAGTATAGCAGAAGGGGCACTACTGAAGAAAAAGAAATGATTTTAAATTTAGGAAATTGTGGTTGCTAGACAAAGGCAGAGAGGATTTTTTAAAAAAAAAATCTCTTTATACCTACAAATCATAAAGTATAAAGACTGACTGAAAACCTAAAAGACACAACGTCTGAAGTTCAGAAGGGTAATTTTAGCAGAAATAAAAACTTACTTCAAACAGAAGTGACAGACTATAGAATTCTTTAGTGCAAGAGATGGTGCAGACTGAATGTATAAATAACTTCTCAGAAAAGATTTAAGGAAAGCATGGGTGACAGATTCATAATAGCTTATATTAAAAGGAACTGGGAGTTTTTAAATGTAAACTCTTAACTTTAAAAGAGATTTCTGTTATAAAAGCAACTATGATATGCTACAAAATAGCTTATAGTCATTTGGT